TTTCAAAGCATTTTCTTTCACAAATCAATCCCTTTCTTTAAAACATTTTCAAGGCCAAAATCCTTTTTTGAAAATAGGCTCACAAGGAAAAGGGATAGAAATCCTACCTCGCACAATCAAACCTGGGACTAGCGTTGCCCTTTTCCGGCTTCCGCTTCCTCAAGCCCCTTCAGTCTGAATCCACAGCGAGCACTGATACAAAACGACACTTTAGGATCAATTCTCAGTCCTAAAGTAATCCAATCTCATTCATATACCAAGATTTCCTATTAGTGTGCCCTAATCAGATTTCATGTTTCAATAATCAATTCCAAGGGTTTTCAATCTCAAACAAGGATTAAAGATGCTAATCCTTTTATCCCAAGTCCCCAAATGAAGCTAATTTGGGTTTTCCCCGAAAACAGGGGTCAAAACAACAATTTCAGGCCAAACAGGGTAAAACCCCGTGTACACCGGTCGACCGGTGACAGAGAAGTGCATCACCACCGGTCGGCCGGTGGTGTGCATCTGGTCGACTGGACCGGTCGGCCGGTGGCCATAGCAAGATCCGGTCGACCGATGCGGTCGACCGGTGGAGAACGCCAGTTCGCGAAAACTCGCGGAAATTAGTTCAAAAACCTGCAAATCCAGTCCCAATTCACAAAATCTCAAGGGACAACCACTAGATCCGGGTTCTAGGTACTAAAACAAGTCCAAAGAACCCAAGATCTCCAATTTCTACCCTAGTTTTACTCAAAATCCATCAAAATCTGTTTTGAACCAAAAATAAGTTTTGAAATCCGAAAAACATAGATTCAAGAGAGGTTCTTTCAGTAATCTTACTTCGAATCCTTCTCTTGACGTTGAAAACTCTTTGAAATCACTCTTGGTTTGAATCCGGTTTTGATTTGAGACACAAATGGGAGAGAGAGGGAGAGAGAGAGAGAGAGCACGGAAGTGTGTGAGAGAGAGAGAGAGAGTGAGAGAGAGTGAGAGAGAGAGAAATGCACGGGAAAGAAAAAGAAAAGGAAAGAAAAGAAAGGAAAAAAGAAAGAAAGAAAAGAAAAGAAAAATAAAAGAAAACGACATGTGTAAAATATAACAGTCCAGAAAGACGCCCATACACACTTCTGGATTAAATAAATTACTGTGAAGAATTTAAATACCTTGGAATTATTTAAACTCAATTAATTAGATCAGATTAGGTACACTAATAATCTTAATTACCTTAATTAATCTCAATTAATTCTTCAGAGTGTTACATCTTATCACCACCCTTTAACTACTCAACTCGAGACTGTTGACGCGAGTAATATTCTTCTAGCGCTAAAAGTCTATTCTTTCTCCATAACTCGGTGAAATGGAGAAGTATGCTTTTTGTTGATATGAGAAGCTTTGGATGAGTTTAAAGTACTTTTAGTAAATATCATTACTTTTACTTTGTTGTTAGATGTAATGGATTGTTTTATTATTTTCGGATGACATAGAAAATTATTTATTTTCCCTTCATTTCAATGCATGGTATTACATAATCAGCCATATGTCTTAATTATATTTTCAGAATTTAAATATGGATGCAATTTGTGAGTATTCTACATATGCATTAGCTTAATGCATATGTATGATGGCATTGTTGACCTTAATGATGATATTGTTGATTTGTTGTATAAATCAATCTTAAAGATAATATATAAGACATACGGTTGATTTTTTTCCACAATATGTGGGATCACAGCATTATAATTTTAGGGATTTGATTCATTTTCAAATTCTTTGTGAATAATCTATTGACGATAATTTTTTTGATTCAAATTCTTTATAAGAGAAAAATGCTGTTGTAAAATCAGAATCATGGTCTGAAATACACTTCTCAAACAACCCATTTAGATATTTAAAGCTATTTTTGTCCTAGTTTCAGCAAACTCATTTCTCTTTTGCAACGTTTAGCTTCAGAATTAGTCTCAATTTTAGTCCCCGAACTATAGGCCATATTACATTTTATTCTAACTTTTAAAGAATTTCATAACGAGTCTCCAATCTATAACATTGTTTCATGTCAGTTACTCCACCGTCCGATATCTTCAGTGAAAAAAAAGCATGTAAGAGCCATTTACGGTTTAGTAGGAGTTAAATTTAATAAAATGGGTTTAATTTTATTGTGGAGGTGTTTCCAACCTTCTGATGATCTTAAAATACTGGAAATTCTCACTTTAGAGAAGCCAAAATCTCATGCTACAATGTTATGAGTTAGATCCCAAGACACTTCTTTTGGCAGTATAGATCAATCTATAAACTCCTATAAATTTCTTTGGGCCACTAACTAAATGGTTTCTTTAGTGCCCTTTTTTCTTTTATTTTAACTTCCCACCCACTTTCTTTCTTTATTGTTTTCTTTTTCCTAAAAACTTTCCTCTTTTTTTTTTTCTTTTTATTCTTTTTTTTCTCATCTTTTTCCGTTTTTATTTTTATTTTTTTGCCTTATTATACATTTTTCCTTTCCTTAAATTGGCCCTCATAAATCTTTTTTATCCTTTTTAATAGGCCAGTGAAATAATTTATTTTGGTACATTTTCCTATTTATTTTTTTTATCATGTTCTCCTAATAAAATGTCTCGTAAATATATATATATATTTACTTTTCTTCCTTTTTCACTCTCTCTCTCTTTTTTTTTTATCTCCTCCTTTCTTTCATTCTTATATTTTTTTGTCATATTATAAATTCTCTTTTTCTTCTTTTTTTTATTATAAAAAATCTCTCTAAATAAACCATAATAAATATGTTTTTCATTCTTACCTACCTAATGTATGCGCACGGTTTTCAGATATAATACTATTTGATAAGCTAATGCGTTCGGATTTATGTTTCCTTTTCCTCTTTCTTGGGGGTGTTTGAAATAAGAAGTATTTCGTAAGAGAACGAAAAAGGAAGAGCAAACGCAATAAGTGTGAGAGGTGGGGTGGTTGGTTGCTAAATGCCACGGCCACAAAGAGACTTTGATATTATTTTTTCCTCCTAAAATCAATTTCTACTTATAGCAGAATCTAATTTTAGTGTTTAATAAATCTCTTTAAAAGTGATTTTTAAAATTTTTTTAAGAATCTAAAACCAAAATCAGAAACAACATAAATATAACTTTAACTTTTAAATTGTGCGACAATTAACATAGTACAATTAATGAAACTTTCATAATACCAATAATACCTCTAATAAAATTTAAAATTTACAATCTTTCTAAGCTAAAATTCAGACTCGTAATATAATATAATAGTTATATCATAATTATATTAATAACTTTAATATTATTATTTTATCACATAATATGATATTATAATAATATTATAATTATTTTAATAATATGA